GACTATGATCCCAATGATTGTGCCGGCTGCGGGGAGCTGTTGAAGGAGGGCCAGGCTCTAGTGGCACTGGATAGGCAATGGCATGTATGGTGTTTCTGCTGTAAGTCCTGCAATGCAGTCCTAAATGGCGAGTATATGGGTAAGGATGCGGTGCCTTACTGCGAGAAGTGCTACCAGAAGAGCTTTGGCGTCAAGTGCGCCTACTGCAATCGGTTCATCAGTGGCAAGGTGCTCCAAGCTGGCGACAACCACCACTTCCATCCAACCTGTGCCCGCTGCACCAAGTGTGGCGATCCATTCGGCGATGGCGAGGAAATGTACCTGCAGGGCAGTGCCATTTGGCATCCACGCTGTGGTCCCGGCCCCTCCGAGTCCGGCATTATACTCAATGGTGCTGGTGGTGGCGTTGTCGGTGGTAGGCCAGGCACCACCTCGGTCACGGGCGGCGTCTCCAATGGCAACTTTACAGACACCGAATGCGATCGCATGAGCTCCAGCGCACTCAGCGACATGGTAGGTGGAGATAAAATAAGTGCGGGTAGGGTGGGCCTCAATTACTGCACCTAGAAGCACTGCAGCTGCCATCCAGCTCCTGCTCCTGCTCCTGCTACAGCTGCAACTACTAATATGAATGCCTAGCTATCTTACACTCATACGCACAGAGAAAAATCCAAAAGTTAAATTTTAAAGCAAACTGGAACTGTGTTTATCCACAATTTTTTGCTTTATGAGAGGAATATTTTTCTGAGCGTAGACACATACACGCATACACACATTAACACCGTTACCGACACAGAGAACACACCTGCCTTTTGCACCTATTTTGCAATTTATTTTGAGTTTGTATTATGATTTGACTTTGGTTTTTTACTCGTTTTCATTTTATTTCTTTCCACCTGTTTTCGAGCTTGCCTTTTGATTTATTATCGTTCGTTTTGCAGTACATCCGTTCCAGAACACCGAGTTTTAATGGTTCACTTTATTCCTCTAGCCGCAAGGTTTGTTGTTGAATTTTATTATAATTTCCTTTTTTTTTTGCATTTATTTATTTGTTTCTATATCTACATAAGCTTATCCAAAAACCCCATGCACCGCACGCTAGTGTCTGGCATATAGCCAATAGATCCCATATGTAAATATATATACTAATATACCTATATTGCAGCACTATCGCACTGTCAGTCCGGGGCTGATTCTGCGCGAGTATGGTCGACCGATCGGAGAGGATATATCGCGCATCTACACCTATAGCTATCTGACCGATGCGCCCCACTATTTGCGCAAGCCAATCGATCCTTATGACAAGACACCTCTGTCACCTCATTTCCATAGGCCCACCTCCTATGCGACGACCAGTAACGCCGGGTCCGTGGCGGGCAGTCGTCCACCATCGCGTCCACATTCGCGAACGCGCAGCGCCATGAAGGTCCTAGTGGATGCCATACGGTCGGAGACGCCACGCCCTAAGAGCCCCGGTATGAACAACGAGGAGCCCATTGAGCTGTCGCATTACCCGGCTGCCAAGAAGCCACCACCGGGCGAACAGCCCAAAATAGAAAGAGACGATTTCCCAGCTCCTCCATACCCTTATACGGATCCGGAGCGCAGGCGACGCTACAGTGACACCTACAAGGGTGTACCCGTCTCCGATGACGACGACGAGGAGAACGAGAATGGCAAGCGTACCAATGGCAAGGTCAAGAATGACGAGGAGCAAACGTAAGTTGACTTATAGAAAAGAAGAATAACGAATCGACAGGGTATTATTAGAGCACCTATGACTAGAGCGCGTAAACTGACTCTTAATGCAATTCTTAATAGTCGCCTGCAACGAGAGGCTGAGCAGTTGGAGAAGCTCAAATCTGGCATAGGTTCGGCTATTGCCAAGGACCTGAAGGAGCATGCCAAGTACAGGAAATGGAAGCAAAATAACCTGGATCCGCGCAATGCGTCGCGAACTCCTTCAGCCTCGAAGGAACCGCTGTACAAGTTGAGGTATTAACTCAGGCATAAACAACAAGATAAGCAAACAATTTCAAGCTGGTTTCGTTCATAGATACGAATCGCCCATTGGCGCCTCGCCGTCACGCAATCTGGATCATCAAAAGCCCTTCTGCGAGGACGAGATGTTCGATCGATCCACTAGCTATCGTGGCTCACTGGGAAAATCGTTGGGCAATGCGCCCAGCTACAATGGTAAACATAAGATATGTGCTAGTCAAGGCTAGAGATCCCCGAGGGTGGCTGTCGGATAGAACCGACTGCGCAATGCTCGTTCACGATTCAAGGGCTATTCAAAATATAGTTGTATTAGGTAAAATAGGATCTTAGACGAATGTACGCACAAGCGTAAAGACAAAAAAAAATCTAGAAAAGCAGAGTTAAAAAAAAAAAAAAAAAAAACAACAGTTTTTAGAGTTTGAACGAGTATATACAAACAAAATATAAATTTTCTTTTGGTTCTCAGTTCGCTTTAGTTTTAGGTAGTTTTGGCCTCTCTTAAGGCGTAGGTACGGAGACAAACGACAATGGCATTAAATAGTCTTAAATAAGCCCCATATGCAGGTCTGTATTGATTCAACGTTTGTTTGCATTGTTAGGCCTGGCTTTGCAGTTCCAATTTGTCAATGATAGTTATAGTAGCTTGGCACAGGCGCGTCCTCATTAAGTTTGTCAATTCGTATTATATGTATGTGCAACAATTACGTTTATAGCCATACATTCCTATCGCTCGCCGCCGAAGCCCGGATACGGATTCAAAACAACAACTTTGCCGCCATACATACGCAACGGCTACAGCTCCGTAAGTGCTGATCCTCAGTTACCCGTTGTTGCTGTTCCTTGGTGATCGGTCAATTGACTTGTAGCTAACATTATCTGCATATGTGTATCTGTAGCATCTTAAGTAACATTTAACATCTTCACCTCTTGCTCATTTACTAAAAGAATACAAACATTTGTTTCTTTCGGCTGCTCCTGCTGCTGCTGCGCCAACTCCAACTGTATCTTTCGGTGCGGTCCCTTGGGTCTAACTCACTAACTTGAAATCTCAACTGGTTGGTCTGCTGCTTCCTTGTGCTGTGCCTCTAACATTTTCTTTCCAACTATTTATGTGTGTTTGCCTATGCTATATGTTTGCCATACCTACCAACATTCTGTAATTCACTAACTACAATCATGTGGTGACATACATCATGAATACATTTTCAATCAACGACATCATTCCACACATATCTACAACTTACATTGCTATTCTCGATTGACAACACTAACAATCAATCACACTACATTTATGCAATCACACACACATACACCATATACAAACTCGGCTCAGTGGTGAGCGCGCTGCGTCACGTACCGAAACCCGGATACGGGTTGGCTCCACGCTCTCACACATTCAGCTCAACAACATCTGCCGCAGCTACGATGCATGGTGCCACTGTAAGAATGCTTGAGTTCATTTTCCGTTTTCATTTCATTTGCACTTTCTTGGAATGCCTAAGCTTGTTCTTTGTTTTTAGTTGTTAAACCTTTAACATACACACACAACAATTACACCCATATATTATGTTGATCTGTTTCAATTAATTTTTGATTTGTTATTATCTGATTGGTTTTGGCATGCTGTCACCTTTATGATGTACATTAAACTAATCAATTGCACATTTCCATATTCCATGTAGGACTTTTCCTATGGAGGCCTGGGAGACAAAACGCACAGCACAGACCTGAGCTGCGGCAAATCAGAGGGTAAGTTTCGGCTAACTGAGTCGTTTAGTGGTTGATTCACTGACTGCTGTTAACTGCTAACACAACCCTACATTATTGTAAATAACTAAAAACTAGTGCTGCTTTGAGCTCGACAGTGAATGATTAATAGACTGATAATGATTGACTGCTAATGAATCTACTGTATACAGTGTTGGAGGTATCTACATATATCTAAAAACGTACTCTTTGCAGCATCGGTTGACTCAATCACGGAGGGCGACAGGCGCGCTCTGATGGGAGGAGATTTGCCAGTTTCGAGCACCTACTCGGGCGCCTTGTCCTATCACTACCCGCAAGCGGGGCTCATTCGACGCAGCCTCCCCAACATGGCGCACTCGATGCTCGTGCACGAGCCAGCTAAGATCTATCCGTATCACATATTGCTTATAACGAATTATCGTCTGCCATCGGACGTAGATCGCTGCAACCTGGAGGTAAGCCAAGCCAAATAAAAGTAATTGTTCATATACAAATTTCCATTTTTATTGCAGCGTCATTTGTCGGACATCGAATTCGAGCATATTTTGCAGTGCACACGATCAGAGTTCTATAGGCTGCCGCAGTGGAGGCGCAATGAGCTGAAACGACGCGTGAAGCTGTTCTAAATAGCTGGCTGCATCCTCGAGAGCAGCTGCTTGTGACGAAACCAAAACAATTACCTAAATATTTTGAGTGGTTCTTAACTACATATTAAAAGAGGCCCTCAAACCGTAAATAACAGAAAAACTATGCTAACTTCACAGCCAGTTTTCGAAACACGCTTTAAACAAATAGTTGAAAAATGAGGAAGATGAAGAAACGTATATAGAAGAGATAGAGATAGTTACATTTTGAAGTATGGACTGCCCAGCTAGCAGCTCCAATTTATTTTTTTAAGCATTAGTTGCGCTGATAACTATTTAAATTCTATAAGAAACCAAACAAAAAAAGTCGGCTCGCCGACCAGCAAGTACCACAGCAGAGTATAATCTAAGCATTTAACATTTAAGATTGCCATCAGAGTCCGATATTGTAAAAGGCTTTAACGCATCCTCCCTCCATTCAGGCGGTATTAATGGCGATCTGCGGGGTATACAAATTTCAATTAGTTAATCGGCCAGTCAAAGCTTTTTTTATATAAACAAAATACAACGGCTAATGGAGAATCGCATAAAAGAAAGAAATAAATGTACCTACTACTTACACAGAAAGGAAAAAAAAAATAAAACAAAAAACAAGTCGCACAGAAATTGATTCTGAATTAGATGCGATGTGCAAAGCAGCTAAACACACTTGCAACATTTATTTATTAATATATATTTTATTTATTTAAATAGAATATGTGAAAAATTAAAAAGCAGGACAAAACGAAAGCAACGTGTTTTCTTCTTATACATACAAAATAAATAAATTCGCGTGAGTGGAATGTTTATACAATATAAAAATAAACATAAATAATTGTGCTAAGTGTCACAGTGTTGTTTTCCCGAGAGATTTTATATTATTAATATATTTTTATATGGATGTTATTCCTTATATATCCCACTAATTCTGCTTTTGCAGAGCGCCGTCTGTCTTTAAATTATATGTTAACTGGGTCTTCATCACTGTCAGTGTGCTGCCAATGATTTGCTTGTGATATATTTGCCGTGTTACAAAACCAAGATCGTCGTAGAAGTCTCGTTCGCTTTCTTGCCATTCGGATATGGTGCATTCCAGCGAAGCGTAACCGCCGTTAATGCAGTTCTTCGAGACCAGATTAATCATGGGCTCCATGATTTTTTGATGCGGATAGTGTTTAGCAATCGCAAAACGGTATATCCAGGCGGCATTGTAGATAGCATGATGATTCTTAACGCTTACAGTGGCTACAATTCGCCGACGAAACTTGTTCAAATAGTTTTCAACATATGGTGGCCTATCCATAAAAATCTGATAGCTAGCCTCGTTTGGTGCACAACGAAAGATGAATGGTTCGTAACACTCAGCCACCAGTGATTGTGAGGGCTTCACCTGAGCAATGTAAGCAATTAGAATTATTGCCACTACTGAGAAACTTAATTACCCTCATTAGCTCCACTGCCTTGGCATAAAAGGAAAAGTAGGTGCTGGTGAAGAGAAAAAACACACAGCCGGGTATGGTTAGCACACAGAAGAGCAGCGGCACACCCAGGAATATGAAAAACACGGCCCAAGTGATGACTATAAACTGCAGTGTAATCTGAAATAATGATGACCCTATATAAGTGTCACATGCATCATGTGGTATGAGGGAAAAGCACTCAACAGAAGCAGCGACTATTGAGCATCGATAAGTCACGCATTAGTCGGCGGCTTACCTCACGAAAGCAGAGCGTAAAGAAAGACTTTAAGGAGAATGACATGATGTAATCTCGCACCAGCTCCTGGCACTTGAGCTCATCATCTTCCCGATAGTTCCGTATTACAATGAATGGTTGCATTTGTTTTCCCTTTTAATAATTTTTTTTTTTCTTGAATTTAAACGAAAACAAAATAAAAACACTACAAAGCAGTGCGACCGTAAACTAATTTGCATAAAATACTAGTAGGGCAAGTCTACGAATGTACCTCAACTAGTCTATAATTGGTATGCGATTTATCGAAGATTAATCGATATACTGGTATTTAATATCCTCGGAAATAATAACAAAAAATTATAACATGTATTACATTTTCTTTATTCAGATGTTGTCTAACAAATAACATTCATTATCACCTATAAATTTAATATAAAATACTGTCAGCTATTGTTAAAGGCCGTGGCCAATAATTTTGTAGAAAAAAAACCATTCACATAGTCTTTTTTAAATTTATCTTAGCAAGAAGCCCAATCATTTAATTTAAACCTATTCCGTTTGTACCTCAGCCGGGCATTAATTTCATAGCGTTATCGAACCATCTTTTGATATTTGCTTGAGTCTTTCAAGTAAAATATTTTGAAACTCCAAAATGGCTTCAAAAGGATTGAGCGCTTAATACTAATCGTACTCAAAATGAGTTCATAATGGTGCTACGTGTATGTATGTACGTTTACATATATAGAAAATTTTCTATTTCTGAATCTAACGGTTAAAAAAAAATAATTTTTCGATTGCTTACTTATCGACGAAAATTATTAATCGAAGCTTTTCTATTTGATCGAATATTTGCATATGCGAAATTCGGTCACACTGATTAATGGCCACCAATACGTTTGCCGCATTAGCGATTGTGATCTGAAATTACTAATCATTTAGCTCGCATCTATCCTGATTCTGTGAAAATGGAAGACGGTCACATGAGGGAAAAATGTGAAACTTTAGAACATGCAACTGAACATCTACAACGTCAATTCATTTGCGGTGTAATCGAAGGTTTTTACGGCCGACCATGGACGACCGAACAACGAAAAGATTTGTTTCGCAAATTAAAAAAGCTGGGAATGGACTCGTATATGTACGCACCGAAAGATGATTATAAGCATCGTGCGTACTGGCGTGAGCTCTACACCGTCGAAGAGGCTGATCATCTATCAAGTATTTATTTGCGCTATTTCCAAAAATTGCTTGCGGCTTGTTATTCAAAGACAAATGTATTATTTATTTTATATATTAGGTCTGATTACTGCTGCTAGGGAAGCGGGTATTGTGTTCTACTATGCTTTATCGCCGGGCTTGGATATGACGTATAGCAGCCAGAAGGAAATTGCGACGTTGAAGCGCAAGCTAGATCAGGTATCACAGTTCGGCTGTGACGGCTATGCTCTGCTCTTCGATGACATTGAATCAGAGCTGTCCAAAGCTGATAAAGAGGTATTCCAGACGTTCGCCAATGCTCAGGTCTCGGTGACCAATGAGATATTCACGCATTTAGGTAGCCCCAAATTCCTTTTCTGCCCGACTCAGTATTGTGCATCGCGTGCCGTGCCCACTGTTGTCGATTCGGAATACTTGAATACGCTCGGCTCTAAGCTTAACAATGAGATTGATATTCTCTGGACGGGCGACAAGGTGATATCGAAGATTATTACGATTGAGTCGATACGGGAGATAACCGAGGTACTGCGGCGTCCGCCTGTCATTTGGGATAATCTGCATGCGAACGATTACGACCAAAAACGTGTCTTCCTAGGCCCATACACCGGTCGTTCGCCAGAGCTTATTCCTTATTTGCGAGGTATTATGACTAATCCCAATTGCGAGTTCTATGGAAATTTCATAGCAGTGCACACGTTGGCCTTCTGGTCGCGCTGCAGCATGGACTCAAAGATGAATAGCTCATTGAGCGCTGATATAAAGCTGGAGACTGAAAATGAAGACGATTTACCAGTGGAGTGTCTGTCGAAGAACATATACCACCCGCGCTTGGCTCTTAAGTAATGCAACTTTTGTAACTACAAAATGTCTAGTAGCTCATGATTATGTTTAACCCCATAGAAACGCCATCAATGATTGGTTACCGGAGTTCTTCGTGGAGAAGGAAGCCTGGGGACCGATTGCTAAGCCTCAGCCGCAAGTTGAGATGGTTATGCCCATAATACCTATAATACCCTCTATCAATACCTGCATGACCCTCACGACGACAACAACAACATCTACAAATTCCCGCACAGTCCCCGAGGTGAATACCACCCAGCTTCAGGCTCTAGCGGATGTGTGCAGCACAGTGAGCTCCACTCTGACTCCCATTTCCAATCCGGTGATGAACTCTTTGGTGTCACCAACAAAAGTTGTAACCAATGATGAGATTATAAATCCCATACCCACAACCGTTGCATCCAATATTGAACTGCCTAAGAAGATACCCATATCGATTGTGCCAGCGCCCATAATGGAAACTAAGAGCGTTGAGGAGACTATCAAGTTGACCTGTGAGATTTTCGAGCCTCTAGTAGAAACCAATAAGGATGAAGCAGTGGAAAAACGGGAACAGGTTGTTAATTTGAATGTGGACTCGATGCTGGATGAGCAAAGTTTGAGCCCGGGCATCAACGAACCAATGGAGTGCAGCAGCAGCGTCAACTCGCAAATTTCGCCAAAGGAGGCCAGTAAGTTGGTAACCGATGACGTAATCATGGAGGAATCTGCCAATGATATGAATGTAGGTGAACTGTAATACCAAACCAATATTTTACACCAAATTACATTGGTTTTCTTGTAGAGCATGAACGTAGAAAGCCCTTCATCTTCGCCACAATCTAGTGCCGAAATGCAGGAGCCGGGAGAATTCGAAGATTTATTAGTCAAGTAAGGTCTCTTGCTAATTTTAGCTACTACATTTTCACATATATTCATTCTTTTGTAGAGCAACTGCGGATCGAAAAAAAATAACTTTAGATGATTTAAACTTTCTCTGTGATCTATTCTTTTTACCCTTTGAGCATGGTAGTCGTGGTCTGAAGCTGCTAACCGAATTCCAATGGCTTAAAGTCAATGCAAATGTGCTGCTCCAGAATCGTATCGTTGATCCAGATGCGACAAAGGCCATCAAGCCAGAGGTTAGCGAATGGTTGCAACGTGCCGAACTCTTCGGAAAAATATGTGGTGGTGTCCAGGAACTGTTACTCAAAATTGCCTACTGTCAGAATAAGGAGATCTGCCATGACTTGTATTCGTATGTATGGGATATTTCTGGTGCGGTCTCGCTGCTCAATGGCTATGTCAAGTGGCTGGCCTTGGGTAAATTTCCACCGAACATGGCCACCTACACGGAAGGCAGCTACACATGTAAGTAAGATCATATTCTCTTTGCATATATAAACAATCTTTATTGGGTTTCAGGGTTCAGTAAAGGCTGGAAGGAGGCCTTCATGTCTGGTGAGCAGGAGCCTTGGGTATTTCGCGGTGGCCTTACAGCGGACTTGCAGCGATTGATGCCCGTCGATTCCGGCAATGATTTGTTCGTATACAAGTTGCCCGAACAGCCAACGGCCAATTATTACCTCTTAAGACCATATCAGAGCTCAGATGAATCGGACGTTAATAGGATCTGTACACGTACTTATTTGCAATGGCAAAGCGAGACGGATGGAGACGAGATATTGATGCCCGCGCAGTTGGTCGACATTGTGGCAGATGTATTGGTGGGCGCACATTTACTTCTACATCCGGAATTGTGCTTGGTAGCCTACGATAAGAGTGACTCGATTGTTGGCTATGCGTGTGCTGCCCTGGATGTTAATGTCTTTATGCGGAACACGGAAATTTGTTGGTTTACAGAGCTGCGTGAAAAGTATCCCAAAGATTTGCTAGATGTTATAGCTAATGGCAGCAGTAGCAAGTCTCAAAAGGTTATTGCGCGCTTTGTTGAAAGCGTGCACAGCAAGGTGGATGAGGCTTGTCCACCTGAAGTGTGTGCCTCATTTCCAGCTGTAATATGCACAGCCACCGTGCGGGAGGCGGAGCAGCATGATAATGGAATTACTAAGCGTATGCTGACCGTATTGCTAGCCGCGCTCCGTGCCAACGGCTGCTTTGGCGTACACGCCCGAGTGCCGGAGCACGATAGAGAGCAGTTGAACTTCTACACAAAAATTGGATTCATTGAGATCTACCGCGATGATGGCAATAAGAACATATATTTGGGGCGACGTTTCTAGCAGGCAAGACTGAGCTCTTGGCTACTTGAACACTACCTTCACCACTGATATTGCTTCTTCTACATCTGGTCCATGTGGTTTCCTAAGTACATGTTTAAGATTTTATTTAATTGTATTTGTTTGTATGTGCATTAATCGTTCTTGATCTATTTACCTTTTTGTACTCTCGTAAAACCTCTTCTTACACAATCCTAGTATATTGGAGTATTGGAGATCGATCCATGCGTATGCCGACTGCTCCATTTTCCAACATTTAATTTAAGTATACGCAATAAAAATTGACTAAATAAACACTTAAATAAAATCAACTTAGTTTATTCTGCTTGTTAAGGTCGTAGAACCAAACCGTGTTGACCCCCTCCTCGATGACACGAGTCGGCTGCAGCTGTGGAAGTGGGAAACGACACGCTATAATCTTCGCATTGTGTGGACATTCTGCAATCAGTTTGTGTTCTAGATCCTGCATCATTTGCTCCACTCCAAAGATTATTACATAGTTGTAATCTTTGATGTTGAACTTCCACAGATCGCGGCGAAAGAAGCTAGTTTGCTGGCGAACACCATGACGAATTGCAGCCAACCGGGAATAGTAGATCAACCATGGGTTTAACTCCACGCCATCTGCTTTCAATCTTTGGGCATGTTGAGCCGCCGCTGAAGGAGATTACATAACTGTTTACATTGATGCGTAAATTACTATTCGAATTCAGCTCACCCACAACGATGCGTCCGTCTCCTGAGCCAATATCCAGAAGCTTGCCATTGGCATTCCTAGGTAGGAAACGTAAAACATTTTGTATTTGTTCCGTTGTCGCTGGCACAAAAGGCAAACAGAACTTGCGAAAAGCGGGCGCTACAAATGAGGCACACACAATGGACAGTCCAATTCCTATACCACCAGTAAGGCCTATCAGGAGTTTACCCCCCGTTGAAATACTCTGTTTTTTAACAGATTTATGCGCGTTTTCATTTAGAATTTCCATTGTAAATCAATTTTAAATAGGCGGATCTTGCAAAGCTGGCAGCAACAAAAAACATCTGATTACAAGCGCTCAGGGTTGACATACAAATCAAAATAAATGAAACCAATTTGAAATTTTAATTGGGAAGTAAATACTCTTAGCTGTTAACATTATACCAATTTATATATATAATTGTGTAACAAAATTGCATTCATCAACAAATTATCACTCATTTTTTATCGATATTGCCAGGGCTGACAGGCTTCTCCTATAGACCAGAGTTGTGTCGACCATTTACGCGCAACGCATCATGAGTACACACTTATCTATATCTTGTGGCAACACTTTTTTCAGTCGTAGCTTCCTATTACAATTTTCCACGGGCATTTCGTGTGTGTGTGTTATTTTCGTCAAAACTAAAATATAAAACGAATATTCATTGAAAATTGCGCTGCAATAAAGTGATCGACCGTCGGACGTACTAAATTTTATGTGCGCCGTGTGTGTTTACGCGTAAACGTAAAAATGGCGAACGTAAGGGACAGCGACACATCACTGTGGCTGCATAATAAACTGGGCACATCAAATGATTCTTGGATAAATGGTTCAATATGCTCGCAATTAAACAAAGAAGTTTTGCGCAACATCAAAGAATGTTTTCCCGATTTGCAGACGCAGGTTAAATTAAAATTGCTGCTCAGTTTTCTGCACATACCGCGTCGTCTGGTTGAAGAGGTAAATCTCGTTGGTGTCATACAAAGTGGAAAAAAGTACACCAGCATGGACACGCATACATACTCACGCACACACACAAACACGAGCGCGCACTCACACATGCTGTGTTGATGAAGAGTTTGTAGTACTGAGAACCCATAAGTGCAAATAAATCTGATAATTAACGTAAAATAAAAATGTGAATCGCATCGTTTAGCTTGAGTATCTAATTTATTTGTGTAATTGCATGCGTACAAGTGTTAGGTGTTCATATGCTGCCTATCAGCGAAATGAAATATTTCCCGCCACTTCTGCGCGATCGATGTGTTTATACATGTGTGTGTGTGTGGGTTTGTGATTTTATGTCTAAGTGTTCAGGTGTTCAGTGATGGTATTTGTGTATGCGTGTGCTTGTATGTATGGGCGCCAAGCGGGTGGTGAACACAAATCTGTTGAATATGTGTCGTCATTTACTGTTATTTGTTATTTATATTTCAAGACGGAAATTTATTACTCCAAAAGCCTACAAAATTTGGGATAGTGTAGTTGTATATATAAATTGTATGGATTTAGTGAGGAATTCATTATTTCGTTTAAAAGATTATAAGTATATGTATGTTGTTGCTGAACTATAGATAAAAATATATAAATCATTTAACGCTGAGAAAATTTTTTAAACGAATTATGGAATTGAATTAAAACTAAAATTACAAAATTCAATAAGAATGCTGTTATCAAGATATTGGTCGTCAAGTTGTTGCCCTATTTCTTAAAAACCAATGATAGATGCATCTAGTTGATCGCTGTGGGAGAAATTAAGTGTGTAATTAACTTGTCCAAATTAAATTTACAGTGGAAGAGTGAATTAGAGGAGGTCATCGAAGTCGCCGGCCTAGATACCGAGTTATGGGTCTCCATGCTGGCAGAGACAATGAAAACATTTCCAGCGACTAGTTCGCTAAATACAGAAATCTCCGATTATGAGGATACGCGACCTATATTCACCGACATGGTCAACGATCTTCGCAAATTGGTTACCAAGCATTCGGATCTGGGGATGTTGCCGCTCGAATGTCAATACCTAAACAAGAACGCACTGGTCTCGGTGGTAAGTAGGCAGAGCACTTGATTTTTTGCTTATGTATGCAGAGTATACATAATATATTGTATATTATTTCAACAGGTTGGCCAACAGCCGGTGCCCGTTAAGCACTTCACGCTGAAGCGCAAACCAAAAAGTGCTCAGTTGCGTACAGAGCTGTTGCACAAGTCGGCCGACGCGCAATCCTCGCTAAAGAAGTCGTCGGCACCTACGATTCCATTGCGCTCGCGTGGTATGCCACGGAAAATGACGGACACAACACCGTTGAAAGGCATACCATCGCGTATGCCCACCACAGGCTTTCGTTCGCCCAGTGTGCCGGGTAATGCGCAACGGCCCAATCTGAGTCGCACACCTGCTGGACGCAAGGATGGAGGCATTAAAATACTCGAATTCACTGAACAGCCACTGGGCTATGCTGCCGCCAAGAAGCGCAAGCGCGAACAGCAGTTGGAGGAGCAACAGAAAAAGCAGGAACAGAAACAACAAGCTGCCGCAGCGGCTGCTGCTCAAGCAGCAGCAAACACAAACAACAACAGCGATAGTCCACCTGCAGAGTCTGCAGCTAATAACGTTATCGGAGGAGAGACACCAACTACGCCAACCACATCAGCAAATAACAGCTTTGAAATCAAATTGGAGCCACAGCTGAACCAAAGCAGTGGCAGCATAGATGAGCAGCAGGATGAGCAGGAGTTCAAAGCTCCGGAGCTAGCTACAAAGACGATGCAACCAGATCCGCCAAGCACACCAGAATATGCAGCAGCTACTCTACAATTCACTCAAACTAATACAGCGGCGGCGCCGACTACGCCCAATCGCAAGACAGAGAGTAAAGCTAGAGCTAACAAGTCGGCAGCTAAGGCGAATAATAACAATAACAACAACAACAACAACAACAACAACAACAACAACAACAACAACAACAATAATAATAACAGCTACCATCAGACGCCGAAACGCATCAAGCAGGAGATTGAGATCAAGAGTGAGGAGATCATTGTGCCGGCCAGCATTAAGCTGGAGAAAATAGAGCCTACTATCGCAACTACTCCAACAACGGCTAAGACGCAGCTGACAGCGGCGACCACGCAGCGAATCATAATACAGCAGCAGCAGCCAGTGCAGCGTGCTCCGCATTTACTCATACGCAGCACGCCGCAGCAACAGAAACGCCTCAATAACAGCAACACTTTAGCGACAACAACAACAGCTACAACAGCAACAACAACCGTCGGCAACACAACTATCAAAATGGAAAAGTTGGACATAAAGCCCTTGTCGCGAGCATCAGCTACTCCCAGCGGAAGCAGCAGCAGTGCCAGCAGCAGCACCACCACAACCACCACCATATTGACGCCGCAACAATTGCGGCAGGCGACCAGTCCGCTGGCCAATCTGCCGAACAACATTTCGGTAAAGATAACATCGGCAAAGGCCAAGGTTGCAGCAGGAAGCGGTGCAGGCAGCAGTGGAAGTCAGACAGCATCAGGAGCTGCCGCAGTACAGCAGCAGCAGCCCATCCTGATTAACAGCTCCACGCCCGTCATATTGGCTTCTACGCCCAGTGCTCAACGAGCGGTAGGTGGCTTTTATATATAAATAATAGCTTTTACCTAATTATATATTCTATTTACCTTTTAGAAACCGCAGTTGGTAGCCAGCACCAGTGGCATTGGCAGCACTACCACCACAATACCATCGCAAGCTATTAAGACCATGCCGCTGAGTCAGTTAAAGACGGCAGCAAATAGTGGACCGGTTATTATCTCGCAAACCATCATTCAGCCGGCTAAGCGTGCTCAGCAGCAGCAGCAGCTACAGCAACAACAACAACAACAACAGCAACAAGGTGCCACATCCAGCGTAGCGGCAGCTGCTTCTCAGCAGCATCAACAACAATTGCAGCAGCAACAAGTGGTCGTTAATACGTCACAGCCACAAACCACACAGTACATTCTAGCTGCACCACAGCCGCAACAGCAGCAACAGCCTGCATTACCGACGCTTACTTCCTTCACTCAGACGCGTCCGCAGACAACGACACTGTACCAAACAGCAGCGAGCGGCAGTGGTCAAACGCCAACGAAAATACTGCTGAAGACCACGGGCACCACGGGAGTGGTCATGACACCGCTGCGACAGCATCAACAAGCTACAACGTTAGTATCTACTAATCCGCCACCGTTGGTGGCTACGACGGCAGCCGTGGCTGCTGGCCAGCAAACGCTTAATATACAAAATGTACAGCTGCCGAATCGTCCGGTCACCATACAGCCCGCTTCACAGGCGGCGCAGCAGCAGCACTTGCAGGCGCAGCTGCAGCAACAGCAGCCACTGCCGCACCCGCAGCACACGATTGTGTCCAACACGACTGCCACACAACAGCCAAAGCTATCCCAGGTGCTAATGCAACCTGGTGGTGCCATAGCGGGTGGCACACTGAATGTCTCACCGACGGCGGCTAAAAGCAAGACGATCATACTCACCCAAAAGGGCGTCATATTGCGCAACATTGGCGGCGACATGTACCAGATACCTATTAGCAATGTAGGCGGCTTATCCGGACTCAGTGCTGGGGCCACCCTTATGACAAGCACGGCGGCCGGTCCGCCCAGCCTGGTGAAGACGACGACGTCAACGAGCATACAGCCACACACATTACAGCAATCACAGCAGCAAAGTGTGCAGCCCGGCAAGCAGTTGATGCCTACGTTAATACCAACCAACCCCATTGGAGGCCAGCACGTCATCGTCCAGCAACAGACGCCCACGAGTGTAATTGGCAATGTAAGTGGAACTGTTTCGACTGTTTTGACGGGGGTGTTTGTTAAGGAAGGAAGAAAGATAGAGAACGGCTTTGATTTGATCAAAGAGTTAATATGTTGCCATATATTCTGTTTAATCTTGCCCTGATTTTGCTTTTCATTTGTGTACAATACCCGTTCGTCTGTCGATCTGCTTCGATGTAAGCTAATCCAATAGAGAAGATAGTTTTACAATCGTGTAATGATTATGGATTATATATATATAACTAGATATATATAACTTGAATATAAGTTTACCTAATTTTATTAATTTTAAATGGCGTTTTAGTCCTCACAGCAGACGATAATCCGGCCTGTCATGACCAATGTGGGCGGCGGGTTGACCACGCTGCCGCAGGGCCTGACATTGATTCAGCGTCCTGGGCAACAGCCGCAGCTGGTGCAGGTGCAGGCAGCGCCGAGCAGCACGCAGCGAACGATTATAACGCAGTCGCCGGCTGCATCGGCGCCGCAACAGCAGCCGCGCCAGCAGCAGCAGCAACAAGCACAACAGCAGCAACAGATATTGGTGCAGCATAAGCCAGCCCTGCAGCAGTGTTTGGTCACCTCGACGAGCACCCCAGGGAACAATGCGACCATACCGCGCACCGTGCAGGTGCAGGTTACTCAGCAGCAGCCACAGCAACAGCAGCAGCAGACGACAGCGCCCGCGGCACAACAGGCGCCACAGCGACGTGGCCTCTCGTTATCAGTAAGTCCTAATAACTACTTGCTAAACAAGCAACATAAATCTCATTATTTATTTATTTTTTGTTCAGAATGAGCACGTTCACAAGGCTCATGAAATGTTCCGCAAAGCGAATCGCGTTTCTCGTCCTGATAAGGCGCTCATCTTGGGCTTTATGGCTGGGCTGCGCGAGAATCCGCGACCCAATTCCGAGAATGTGTTGGTCATAAAGTTGGGAGAAACTGAGGTATGTTTATTTTTTTGTTTATCAATTTGAACATATGCTAAATACTAAATCTAATTGTTTAGGAAAAAGTGCAACAGGAAGATGGCAATACGGCGTTGTGTCAGGTGGAATCGCATATTCGCTTGGACTACAATACGGGCGAGTGGAAGACATTCCAGAACTACAGGCTGGTGGATCAGACTGGTGCCTCATAGTCCACAAGGGTTATACGCATAGTACGCAAGTAGCCTATGCGTATGCCCTAGACTTCACTTGTTTGCTACTGGGCTTGTTCTGTGCGTCCATGTCGTTCTGCATGGCCAGCAGCTTGGCTTATCCGCTAATTAGGCTACTAACCAGTTCTCCCATCCCCTTTATATTATTAAACTCCGCTTTCCACGATGGAAATAAATGAATTATAAAACAATTAACGTAAATTAGTAGTTGTACAGTTCTTAGTATATATGTATGTAGTATATATGCTAGCGCTTTAAACGTTTAGTAATGATGCCACAAACACACACCCATACACACGGCAACACATAAACATTACATACACACAAGTATATATGAATATGTATGATTAGCACGCTTGACTAGAGAGCGATAGAGAGATGAATTGAATGGGGAATGCAAATAATCATACATTAACACACACCCACACATATATCAATGTATGTGGTCATTTATATGCAAATATATACAAGATATATATGTATTTACACAAATTATATATATGTTATATAAATATAAATATGCATAATTAGCATTATGTAATTAGTTCTCGAGTAAAGACAACTGTATAATTAATTTAGCAAGAAGCATAATAATACTTATTTGGAGCCACGCGAAGAAATGCAACGCTCACCTTACAAAATCATAAAAAAAATCCAAAATATGAATATTATAAATGTATGTAAAATTATAAAAAAAAAAAAAAAAAAATTAAAATTATAGCGAAGAAACCGCAGCAAAAATTTAATATTAACCTTGAGAAATGTGTAATAGTCTAAAATAAACCAACCATATTTATGGCTTTAATGTTTAAACCAACGCTTGTTTAAATGAAAGGCGGCAGCAATAGCTTCTTAATATTACAGCCTCCTTTCATATAGTTAATGTATTGTATTTCTTAAACCTGACATGCAACTCAACTGTAATTGTAAATGTGACTTCGGTTCGGATACAGCGTTAATTTAAAGATCTTGATTCTGGGTCCTCTGGGAATTAGATTTTACCCTTTTGTCACTCAAGCAAGCTTCATAAATATTTACGACGATTCTCTAATATCTCCAGCTTACCACTCAAGCAAGCTTCATAAATATTTAGGACGATTCTCTACTATCTCTAGCTTACCAGCTCTTACCATTACTTGGTCGCTTAATCATCAATAATAAAAGAAACCTGAATTTGAATACTTCGTTGTTTCTGTTTAATTGCATTGAAAGCTTACAACTAGTCAACATAAATTGATCAATTTTGATTGGACAATGCCTTTGGCTAATACTAGAAGGTAAATCTATATGCAATATATTAAAGACTATAATATATATATGTATATATACATATATATAAATATACTACATGCTACGAGTTACATACAACATACATAGGTGCGCCTTAAATTCGATCTACTAATGGACCCTAATGGATACATTCTATTTGCTGGCCACCTCCTTCCAGTGGACGATGGCGCGCTGTTCGTCTGGTGCATCCCGGAAAGGCCGACTGCCATTAGAGCTGACATACTCGTTGACCTGATAATTGAGCAACGTTTTGTAATGATAGACATCGGCCAGCTGTTGCGTCAGAGGGCTAGTATTGGTTGTGAAGATGCCGGCGAACTTTTTATTGCGTGCCACGTTTAGCACCTCGTACTCCATGAAGTGCATGCAAGCAATATTCTCGCGAGGATTAAGATGTTCGGCGGTGCCCATCATGAATGAGTGTAATATTTGATTCAAGCCCTTGGGCAAATAATTGTCTCTAAAAATATAAATCAAGATGTTGGTTTTGAGGTAAATGTAGTGCCAGAAAACCGTGTGACGTACCGTATGGGTCCTTCACAGAACTCTAGAAATTCGAATATAGTGATCAGCTCGGACTTTATGTCCACCTCAGGCTCGGCGCGCGCGTCAAAGTTGAGAGCGGTGCCGATGATGCGTTCAGTATTTCGATCGTATACCACAAAGCTGAGTTCCCGCTCCACTAGAACGGTCCAAATTTCCTGCAACAAAATTAATGGATAAGTTACTAAAGCTATTGCTATTGTGTATTGCTCTCCACTTACATTAAGCAAATCACTGTAATCTGTGCGCAAAACACCGGGCTTCAGCCACTGTTCCAAATCTGCCTTGTTGTAAAAACTGGATACGATTATGCTGCAGAAGCAAAGATTAGGAATTATAGCATACTAAATGAACTCAATCGAACTACTCACTCAATCACAGCCTGACGATGCTCCAGTTTGAGAGGTACCGCTTCCATTTTAAGGTGCGGGCATGCATTGAGCGTCTCCTCTTCCAGTTGTACTGAATCATGGTTGCTAGCCATCTTTTCGATAATCTCTCCCAGACTTTTCGCCGCTATGAACTCGGAGATACCAATGTTGTAGCCTTTCTCCCTCAGTAGGGTGACGGTGAAGATGGAGTTGAGTGAATTGCCACCCAGATCGTAGAAGTTGCTATGAGGCGAAAGACTTGCTCGTGTAGAGCGTCCAATGACACCGCCCACCGTCTCGAAGAGGTCACGTGCCGTCAATTTCAGCTCCTCGGGCACCTGGCTGTAGTCAAAGTCGAGTACGATGCTCGAATCGCCTTCGTTATTGTTGGCCGTCTCATAGGTTTTTAGCAGGGCCTGGCGATCCACCTTGCCATTGACCAAGAGCGGCACATGCTCCAATATGATCACCTGTGGTGTCATATAATCAGCCAACTTATCCTTGAGCCTGCCTTCCAGTTGCATCTCAGTGACCACAGGTGAATCATCGCGCAGCTTGACAAAGGCGAGGATGGCCTGATCCACATGTCCGGCCCGATAGCAAAGTACTATGGCCTTCTCTACCAGTGGCAGCTCGGCCACGATCTTCTCCACCTCAGACAAATCGACCCGATGCCCGCGTATCTTCACTTGCGAATCGGTGCGTCCTTCATACATGATATTCCCATTCTTCAGCGAGCCATAGTCACCGGTACGATACAGACGCGCATATTCTGTGAAGCTGATTGACTAGAAATTCATTCATCAGGATGTTTCAAGTGTCCCACTTACTCTTCTCCACAGCTAACGGATTCTCGAGGAAGCGTTCCGGATCACGACCATTCACATAGCCCGCAGCCAGATTCAAACCTGAAGCAAAGATTTCGCCTATTTCTCCATTTTTGACCGGACGATAGTCCGCATCCAGCAGATAGATAACAGTGTTTGAGACGGGTACGCCTGGGGAAATATAGATACATAAGCACAGAAAAAGCAAGAGGACAGAAAGAGAGTGGAGAGCTCACCTATGGGCACATTGTCGTACATGCTAAGCTGCTTCTTGCTCTCGCAGGCGAAGTAGGTCACATCGCCCATCACCTCGGTGGAGCCGTAGAAGTTGTACAGTCTGTGCACTCCCTCATCAAAGTAGTCGAAGAAGCTGCTAGCTAACGGCACAGCCAATGGCTCACCTGAACAGACCCAAATCTGTAGATTGTATAGCAATTTCTGAGCCGCACCACCACCCTCCATCTTTAGGTACATGAGCAGGGAACGCAACAAAGTGGGCACCAGAACTAGACGACGAATTTTATACTTCTCAAGAAGTGATACAAAGCGGTGAGGATCTTTGGTGACTACTTTGGGCACTACTAGAATGGCCAAGCCACACATAAGAGGACCCCATAGCTCCGCAATGGAGTCGACAAAGGTAAGTGCTGTCTTAAACACGCCCACCTGCTCATTGGCCGTGTAAGGAAAGGTTGCCCACTGCCACTGCAAGCGATTCAATATATTCTCATGGGGCAGACGCACGCCCTTGGGCACACCTGTGCTTCCCGAGGTATACAGAACGATGGCAATGTGCTCGTTCCCACCGCGCAACATCTCCTCCGAGAGCAGATTGCTGCCGCTTAGTTGTAACGACTTCGCATACAGTTCAGTCAACGATAGCGTGGGCGTGCCTTGGAAACGCTGAGCATCGATGTCATCATCACGTAGTACTAGAATCGGTCTGGCCTCTAGCAATATATGATGGACACGATTAGCCGGGAAGCTCGGATCGATGGGCAGATAGGCACCGCCCGCCTTCCAAATGGCCAGTAATGTGGTGACCAGCGCCTCCGATGGCTGCATACAAACGGCCACAATGAAGTCACCATCGCTGTTTGGCTGAAGGAAACGTCCATGGGCTTCCTCGACGAGGAGGCGGGCAGCACGATTCGCACGCTCGTTCATCTGGCGATAGCTGCTCTGGCTGGGTGCCAGGGTCTGACCCTGTCCCTGGTGATATATGAGCGCCACCTTATCGGCATGACGCAGTTGTTGCTCTTCGAAGATGCGATGCAGAGCTCGGGGCACGTAATCCTGCTGCTGGCCCTTCACAATCGATAGCTGTGGAAGCGAACCCATATCGATAGCTGCTTATAAAAAAGAGGCAACAATTAGGGGACTATAGAATTTGCTATATGCATAAGATTAGGCTGAAGAGACAGCGTACATTCAAGTCGACTACTAGTTAGGAATGACTACACAAATGACCCAGCACAAAACGTTTTGAAATATTTAAAAATATGTATTTTATATTCGAGGGAAATTATTCGTGTTATCATCATCTGTATCTTACGAGACTCTGCTTACCGCATTTAATGATTGTAACTATAATTGACTTTGTGCAGGCATTTAACGTATCTTACAACCGTTTTAATTGAGTGCTGGACATCGAATTCAATTTACTACGAGTGAAGTCAATTATGAACTAATAAACAGTAAAACAAATAGATTTAGATAAGTTTCTTATCTCCGGCTGCCATAAAATACGAGTTCGAGCTGTTAAGTGACAATCGTATGCTTACTGTGAATACTAACTAGGTCGACAGCTTCCGATGTACAGCATAACCCACAGCTAAGCCATAATCATAAACTATATATATACTATATATATTCGATTATAGTTATATTCTCTCATTATCCTATTACTGTTCATACGAAGATCAGTTCGCTTTGAAGTTCCTTTCTTCTTCCAGGAATTCACAGCTCAACCATTGGCATACGCATTTAATGCAGTTGTAACATATTTTCATGTTTAACGATTAAGGAATAGTTTTTAAAATATAATATTTGCATTTTGTTGTTTATGACGTGCAGCAATAGCGCCATGAGCAAACAGAACTCTTAAGTGCTTGTATAAGCTTAATAAATGCATCTGGATTCGATTGAAATCTATTAGAGCCATTTGCATACCGATAAAATCTAGATTTAATAGATGCAGCTTTTATGAGCTAGATATTCATACAAGGCATATATTTTCATTTACGCTATTGGACTTAATAGCATTTTAGTATTCTGAATCTGAATTGAAAGTGAGTGCTGAAATATAAGACTTTTATGGTCGCCTTCAGGAAATTTACCAATAATTTATTATGAGCTTACCCAGGAATCTCGTGAAGTACGTAAAGACTGAGCGGAATTATTAAATCTCATTTAGCTGACGGTCTTGGTTATTGCCGGAGGTCTTTAAGCTTCGCTTTATTATGTCATTTAATCCAACAGAGTGTCATTGAACAAACAACTTCTGGTTGTGTACAACCATCCGATTTGCCGATTCTCCGATTCTACAATTCTCTGGCTCCAATGTCATGCATAAAGTGGAAATAGTTTACGCTATAAAGGCAATTACCCGTCAACTTGTCCTTAGTCTCGCCACATTTCAATTTTAAACGAACTACTAAACCAACAAACAACTCATTAAAGCAGGTTAACTGCCGAGTCTTGTCTTGTTTTATGAAATATGTCGCTCAATTACATTGGCATTGTCACAGTCCCTGGCTACAATCCAATTCCGATTACGATC